GCGAAAACAGCCACGACGACCCCCAGCAGCAGCAGCAGCAGCAGCAGCAGCAACAGCAGCAGGGGGCCCCCCGGGGGCCCCCCATATCTTCGCGGGTGTCTGTGTTCGTTTCGCGCATCGAAGCTGTTGAACTTGAGGGGCCCTTTTCAAAAGTGTCTCCTTTTTGGAAGTTTTCTTTTTTGAAAAAGTTTTCTTTTTTGAAAAAGTTTTCTTTTTTTGAAGTGTCTCCTTTTTTAAAAGTGTCTCCAAATGTCCTCACTTTCGAGCCCGGAGACGCTGCAGCAACGAAGGCGTTTCGGGTGCAGGTGAGCAGCAAATTAAAGTCCAAAATTAAAAAAAAGTTTTGATTTTAAAACTGAAAAGACATTTTTAATTTTAAAATTCAAGAGATATATTTAATTAAAAGAAATAACTAAAAAGGTATCTGAAAAGATATTTTTAATTTTGAAATTCAAAAGATATTCTTAATTCTTAAATTCAAAAGATATATTTAATTTAAAAGAAGTGATTGGGATATATTTAATTAGGAGGAATAATTAAGATATATTTAGTTTAAAAGAAATAATTCAGATATATTTAATTCAATGAAATAATTAAAAAGATATATATAATTGAAAGAAATAACTAAAAGGATATATTCAAAAGAAATGATTAAAAATTAAATTTAATTAAAAGAGATAATAAAGGAGACAAATTAAATTTAAAAAGACAAAAAGACACAAGTAGGATATATAAACAAAAAACCAAAAAAGAAAAAAAACAAAAAGAAACAAAAAGGAGACAAAAGGGGACAAAAGAAATTGAAATAAAACAAAAAGTAAAACAAAAATGAAAAAAACTAAGACAAAAATAAAACAAATAAATCAAACAAGACAAAACAAACAAAACAAGTAAAACAAATAAACAAACAAAACAAACAAAACAAATAAATAAAATAATAAAACAAAACAAACAAAAGAAAATATTAAATTGGAATTGTTATTCGCTGTTTTGGGGTTTGCAGTCGCTGGCGAAGAACACCCTAAACTACAGTCGAGACACCTCAAACCCTAGCGCTGGGGTGTACGTACAGCACCACCGGGTGTATCTACAGCTCAAGTCTTCAGACCCTTTTTGGCAAAAGGAGACAGTTTTTTGGAGCAGCAAAAGTGTCTCCATTCGCGTGCGGGAGCAGCAAACCCCCGACATTTTGCTGCACCCCCTGCAGCAGCAGCAAACCCTCAAAAGGGGAGACCAGGTGCCCCAAACCCTAAACCCTAAACCCTAAACCCTAAGCCCTACACACGGGACACTCCGTGCGCCCCGCCTAACAGCTCTTCGCCGGCTCGCGGACAAATTAAGGTCTAGAATTGGGATTAGGGTTTAGGGTTTAGCGTTTAGGGTTTGGGGTTTGGGGTTTGGGGTTTAGGGTTTAGGGTTTAGGGTTTAGGGTTTAGGGTTTAGGGTTTGCGCGCAGATATCGTACGGCGTGTCTCTGGGTTTCGCGCCGAGTGGGGGCCCCCTGGAGGTTTCTCTTGGGGCCCCCGTGGGGGTTTTATTAAACCCTTTTTCTTTATTTTTTGACAAAAACAATTTCCAAAAAAAACAAAATGTTTCTTTAAAAGTCACTTCTTTGCTGCCTCCCGCGCCCCCAGTAGGCCCACTCTACTCCCAAAACCAAACTCCCCTTGTCTTCTTTTTGGGGCTTTTCCGCGGGTCTTGCATGCATGCGTGCATGCATGCATGCATGCATGCATGCACGCATGCATGCATGCATGCATGCAGTTAAGGGGGCTTCAAGCCCGGAAAAGCCCATGTGTGTTAGTTGTCTGAGTTTCTCTGCATGCATGCAGAAGCCGAAGTGTCTGTGCATGCGTGGCTGGGGGCTTTTGCATGCATGCGCGCATGCATGCGTTTTGGGGCTTGCATGCATGCGCGCATGCATGCGTTTTGGGGCTTTGCATGCAGGTGGAGGGCCCCTCTTTGAGTTCTTTTTCTGTTTTGCACACTCTTAAAGGCACCGAAGGCCAATTGTCTCTTGAAGTCCAAAAAGAAATTGTTTTTTGGGTGGAAGAAACCGAAGCAAAAGTGCGCTGCAAACCCCCGGCAGACACAGCGCGAGGGTTTAGGGTTTAGGGTTTAGGGTTTAGGGTTTAGGGTTTAGGGCTTGGGGTTTAGGGCTTAGGGTTTAGGGTTTGTTATTTATTTATATATTTAAATGGTGTTTGTGTATAAATGCTTCTTTATATAAATTTATATCTATATTCATATTTATATTTATGTTTATATTTATATTTATGCTTGTGTTTATGTTTATATTTATATTTATGTTTATTATTAGATTTGCATTTTTAAATATATTGTTTTAAAATACATTTCTTTGCATTTGCAAAAGGCTAAAAAATCCACTTTTAGATACACTTGAGCATCCGCACATACAAATGTTTATATAAAAACAGACAAATAAATAAATAAATAGATAAATAAATAAATAAACAAATAAATAATAAATGAATAAGTAATAAGCGCGTTATAAGAGAAGTTGCTGAAGACAAAGAAGGGCTTTCTCCTTTGAATTAAAAGTGTGTACTTTGTGCTGCTGCTGCTGCTGCTGCTGCTGCTGCTGGTGCAGGTTTTGTGGGGAGACTTTCCAGCAGCAGCAGCAGCAG